CGTATTGCTCCAGCAAAAAAATAAATTGGTAAAAAGAATCCATTTGAAAGCTGACACAAAGGCTTTGGCAGCACTGAAGCCCTCTCCATGCAGCTGATTCATATTCTGCACACAGTGGGATCAGTTTCAGTGTACACACCACAGCACCCTGCTTAACAAACACACACATACGTCTGAGCATTTAAACCCACTAAGCTTTTATCTGACATGATTGTTGCCTTTTTTCATCCGTCCTAATGCATTTGTGCAGCTTTAACCGTGATCGTGAAGGTCAGCAACGCTGCCGCAGTGAATGCATCCTAATAAAAGATCATTCTACATTAGATGTATGTGAATGATGCTTCTAAGCAATGCAGGCTTTGAAAAGCTGCTTGACTATGATTTGAAAAAGCATGAACTCTGTTTCATGAAGAGCTGCTGAAGGAATGAGAGAACTATTGTGTAGAATAATCGACGAGAATGAGGCGCAAAGTTCAAAAGTTCATCAGCTGGCTTGCTGCAAGATAAGTTATAGGAGATGCAAAAAGCAAAGACTCCCGAATATAAATGTCCAAGTTTTCTAGGGGACAAAATGACTTAGGAAAAAAATGGTATCAGAATTTCCCATTTACAAGAAAAGCAATAGAAGGTTATTATTATTTATTTTAATTTTAATACATGTTTTATTGTAATTGATTTGGTATCACAGTGATTTTTTTAAATGTCCTGAATTTAACTTAATAAACTTTGAAGAAACTATGTGTCCTAAAACAGCCTCAGTCTCCAAAATGTTCTACTGGTTCGTCTGAATAATACTTTAGAAACCTTTAGACCTCAATTATCCATGTATTTACATGGAATATCATTAGCGAGAGCAAAATGCAACACTTGCAGGGGTCACCTCCAGCACAGATGTCTATAAATGTCTGCTGACAGAACCATGTAATGCAAACTTATGGCTATTTTAAAACCTCTGAAATGTTTTTTGCAAAAACAGCAATAAAATGTGGGAGATCAGAAAAGTTATAAAATGGTAGAAATTCACTTTACTTCTCTCAACTGGTCATTTAGGAAGCTACCCATAGTTACTAATAGTTTTTATACAGAAACAAACAGAAATAACTTCTGAAGTAAATGTTTTATTATTTCGAGGATGACTCAAAACCTTTAAACAAACATTAAAATGAACGTCTGACTTTGCAGAACTGAGTTTCTGAGCTCTCAAATAGCAAGCACCAAAAGCTGCACCAAATCATCAAGCTATTATCCTAATCAAAAGAGCCTAGCATGTGAAGGAGGCCAACAATGTGCAAGTATTAGCATGATTACAAGTATCATTTCAGCTTTCATCCTGGCTGCTTTATTCAGCAGAGTCTTTCTGACTTCAAAGTGATTTTTAGGGAAATGCTCTTCATCAAACAGCCTCGATAAGACTCTCCTTTCTGCTCACAATTAAAACCACCCATTGAATCACACCAACGTGCGTTAGCTGAACCAACATCCTTTCAAAAGTCCAATAATCACACGGCTCCCTCTTAACAAGCCTGAACCTTACTCTGAAGGCCATTAAGCACAAAAGCTCGACAACAAATGTTGTGATACAGATGCAGCTCTCTGTAGAAAGCAGCAGCCTACTCATCATCAAGTCAGCACATCTTTTCTAAGACTGAAGAAAAGATAATTCCCAGATGAGAGCGCCTCGCTGCTGTGTGTGTGCTGACACACGAGAAGACAATCCACACTATGTTTGATCATATCTTTGGAGCCGATACAGTATGTTGCAAACGGAGAGGAGAGGAAACCAGGTCACGCTCAAAGCCCTTCAGAGATTTCTGTTTTCTGCGCACACTCGTCTCACTCCACTAAAACTCTCACTTCCTTATTCCCTTTTTGTGTTGTGCTGCATTATTGCTGAGCCTTTTCTTCCGCACGGCACCCCGGTCAAAAAAAGAGAAGAAAAACAATCATCGGTAGTCACGCTAACATTTGTCCTTTTTACCCCTTTTTTGTTTGACCTCTCAACCCTGGCTTTTGTTTTTTTTTTATCCTCCCTTTCTCCTTGCAGCTCCTCCTCCCCCCCTGTCTTTGGATTCCCTTTTTCCTCTCCTCATTAGTCCTCCCTTTCCTCTCTCCTCCTCTCTTCTCATCACTGGTTAGGAGCCACTGAACATTAATGTGAACTCACTCTAAAACATTTCACTTTGCAGCCAGTAAATAATTAATACACTGACCTTTTGCCGTAAAGACTGCATTAAATGAGCTTAAACACGCCAGGAAATCAACATTTCCTTTAATATTTTGGTTTTTGCAGCACAGATCCTTCCTCTTAATATAGCTTCTCATTACTTGTTGGTGAATAACTGATGAGATCCTGAAATAGTTGGTGGTGCAGAAAAAGGCAAAAGGAGGAGGTAGAATTGCTCTCTGCTTCCAGTGCACCGCTGACGAACAGTCTGTCTGTACTTAATGAATCACGCGGCGCTCATTTAATTTTGATCGGGTGCTCAGCTGCGTGGGGTCCTGCTCGCGGACCTTGGAGTGACTCGGAGAAAATGGAGTCATGTCCCCCAATATGAAATGTACCACAGTACGTGCAGAGCGATGGCAGCATTTGTCCTCTGCAGCCATTATTGTCAAATCTTCCAGAGAAATGACTGCATTTATTAATAGCGAGCAGAAAAATAAGTGTGTGTGTGTGTTAGTGGCTCTTAACTAACAGTCCATGGCTGCGCATTAATGTTCCCGGGTGTACCGCAATTAAATCACAGCTTGAGCCCAAACAAGAGAGGTTAACGGTGATGTGACTGACCGGCAAGCAGCAGCAGACAACTGCAGGTTTAATCTGGGACACTGAGCTGCGAGCACACCGCCGAACACCGAAACCAGGTGACTCATTTCTACTGAATGTGGAGAGTCACATGAAGCTTCCACTTTGAAGATGTGTGCCATTTGACCCTTAACTGTATTTGATGTCACTCAGAGGGAATGCTTTTTCCCTCAACAGGTGAGGTGCCTTGCAACACTTGCTCATTTACCTGCACACGGTAAAATGAAGTGGAACCCAAAGTCAGTTATGATGCACATATGCAGCAGGTATTTTCACGCTTTTAAGCTCAGGTCGAATGTAGTTTAATCCAGATTTATCAGTCAATCAATCAATCAATCAATCAATCAATCAATCAATCAATCAATCAATCAATCAATCAATCATGTTTATTTGGTTATTTTAAAGACAAGAAAAAAATAACACAATGATATAATTATAGGAAAAATGAATAAAACATATTAAATTTGTAAAAATAATGAACGAGAAATAAATATATCAGCAAAAAATTTTTTTCTTTTTAATTAAATACATTAAAGTACAAAACAAAAAACTAACAAAAAAAAAGACAAACACCAGTAGTCTTAACACGAGTCAATGAATAATATTCATATAAACAGACGGTTTCTATGAATATTGTGGCGGCCCTGACAATGATAGGCCGGCAAGGCCGCATTGCACTCTGGGGGGACGGTAAACTGGGGTTGTTTATTCAGTTTGTGGTGTTCTGAGGGTTATATTTTTCGAGGTTATGCTAGTGTTTGTTTCAGTTCGGTGTTCACGCTGTGTTGTTCTTATCCGGTGCCTGTTGGCACCGTGAGTCAAATGTATGTGTGGGGGGGATGAAAAGGGGAGCCATCCGGCTATTAAAAGTGTTCTATGGCTGCTACCTGTCGACTCTTCTTTGCTGCTTCACAAACACCCAGCCAGAGGGCGGCGCAGACCGCTACATTGGTGTCAGAAGTGGGATTAACGCTGTCAAGAAAGACAAAAAAGATGCAGCAACTCGGCGAGGAGATCGAGCGACTTGACAGAGAGAACAGCAAGCTGGAAGAGCAACTACGGCTGGGCACTAGAGCGAGGACACCGCGCCAGCCGGATGGAACCAGCGATCCGCGGTTCGCCCGACACCCGCGACAGATGCGCTCAAGGCAGCGCCCACAATCCTGGCACCAACGGCGCTGAGAGACGGCAGCAGTCGAACGCCGACGATCCCGTGATGACCGGAGCAGCCAGGCCGGAGACGTAAGCCTTTGCAAGAGGATTCAGGTAGATGGGAGCTGTACCATCTCGGACTTTGTATGCTAGTGTTAGCACTTTGAATTTGATGCATGCTGCTAGCGGTAGCCAGTGGAGCTCAATGAACAGAGGGGTGACGTGTGCTCTTTTGGCTGACTGAAGACCAGACGCGCCGCTGCGTTCTGGACCATTTGAAGAGGTCTCACAGTACAGGCTGGAAGACCAGTTAGAAGGGCATTGCAGTAATCGAGGCGGGAGATGATGGTGGATTGCACCAGGAGCTGGGTGACATGTTGTGTTAAGTATCTGATCTTTCGTATGTTATACAGCAGACATGGCAGCTAACGGGGTCATTGAGCCATCAGAGAGCCCCTGGGCTGCGCCCGTTGTCATGGTGAAGAAGAAGGGGGAAGGATGGCGACCCTGTGTGGATTGCCGGAGGCTTAATGCTTTGACGCGCAATCAGCTTTAGAATATTCAGACTTGGGCTTTTCATTTGAGTTAAGTGCAGATGGAGGTACGTAAGTCCTTTATTTAGAAAAATTATGCATTGGCATCTTCTTCAACAGCTTATGGCAACTTTCCTGTTCACCGACATCCCTAACGGTGAGTACGTCATGTTTGTTGTCCAATAGCACGTGGAGACGCGTTTGAAAGACAACCACAGATTCCGCCACATGACTGAACTTTCTCTATGAATTGTGGCCAGACCTTATATTCACATATATGATGGCTTGCCAAGCTGCAGTTTTCCTTCCACAGAAAAAAACTTTTGTTAGCCTAACTAGTTATTTTAAATGTAACCAAGATGTGATTCTGTGTATGATAAAAGTGTCCCTGAGGTGAAGTTGTGAGCTGACCATTGGAGATGTGAACCAGCTTCCCTTTGACTTTGCCCAGAATCTATCTGGTAAATAAATGGATATTAATCTGTCGACAGAAACGTTAGGGTACATACCTCCACCTGCTGACAGATCTGGATGAGCTTGGCCATTTGGTTCTCCAGTTCACTGTTTCTCTTCACCAAGTTAGTTAGGTTGTTCTCCAGAGTTTGCTATTTGGAAGGAGGAGGATGAGGAGGAGGAAGAAGGAACAGAGGGAAGAGGAGGAAAATGAGGAAGAAGAAGACATGGTTAGTCAAATGGTTTCTCCTATTTAAGAGTGTTTCATTAAATATACTGAACTACATTTATGATGTATTCTGCAGCCAGCATCATTGAAGTCTAAGTTTCTCTTCAGGAAACCACCACCACACCACCTGCTCTCCTGCTGATGCTTAGAAAACATTAAACAGAAATCACATTCATGAGCTGCACTTCTTTGGACATTTTATCACTTGGCTTTATGAATCGTTTGGGTGGTCAGCTATAACATAAATTATAGACATGTTTAAACAAATGACCATTTTTAAAGATACGGCATCTGTAACACTAACAAGGTCCACAGTTTCACAGCTTTGCTCTCAATTTGACCAGTTTAATGCTCTCCATCTTATCCAAAACACAAGAGGTCTTAAAAACATACACAATATACACAGACAAACATATTTACTCATGTACCACAGTCGCTTTAATAGTTTTGATTTAAGCACAACCTGACCTGAGTAAAATATATTTAATTTTTCAAGATTTATCCAGATAATCTCAGATTTTACTTTACACGTGAAGAAAGTTCAGCATCTAAAAAAAAGTCTAAATTACTTTAAAACAATAAAATTGTATTTCCGAACCAACGTTGACCTGTGACATTACAGTTTAACTGCCAAACCTTATTAACCTTTTCACTAAAGCTGTGATCCCTGAAAAATGAGACCAATCAACCTTGGCTGATGATCAAACACCCACATTGTTCCCCCTCCTTGATCATGATTGTTCATCAAATGCAAATGAAAAAAAGACTCACACGCATAAATAAACTCACTCAAAAGGTACAAAAGATACAAAAATGAAAAAACGCAAACGAGAAGCCAGAAAAAGGACTTTCATTCAGCAAGAAGCATATCAATGATGGTGGCATCAAAACAACATTCGCAGCTGCAGAGAGAACAGCAGAACAAAGCAGCAGACAAGCAGCAGGTGTTTGAAGTAGCTCTACTCATGCAAGTGAAAGGGAGGTGGGCTGGATGAGCACCTGGCCACAGGGTCGACTGCCTGACTGATCCCGTCTCTCTGTTCCTCCCCCCTCTTGCAGGCATCCTCAGTGCTTTCCAAAATCTCCTCAGCCTGTCACTCAGTCTGATTCATTCTGTCTACCTGCTGTCTGTTTAACTTTGCACCCACTTAATTCCTTAACTGCTTGCTTATCTTTCCTTCCGCATCCTCTCCTTATCCGTCCCTGTTGACCTAGATGCCTTCCTGTCAGTCTGTATCCCAGAAGTGGGAATAGGGATTGTGGGGGAGTGGGGGTGTGGTCTTTGGGTGTTGGTAAAAGGCAGCCAGGGAACTCACCGCAGCGCTTGTCTTTGAAGCCTCCATTGCTGCATCTGACACTCTGCCCGGGCTCACCTGATAAGCCTACAAACACACATACACCTACATAAGTGCACACATAGACACACGCACGGACAACCCTGACTGAACAACGCTGGCCAGTTAAAGCAGACCAACAATTAGAAGAGAATTCCTGAGATGTCTCGGAGGAAGCTACAAAAAAACTGAAAGAAGAAAACAATGCCGGATGCAGGAGAGAGAGGGCGCTTGTTAGGTTGTCTTCTGATTGGTTGCATCACAGGAGCAAGCGCTTGATTTAGTGTGAAAGTAGGAGAGCTTGAAGTGGAGCATCAGTGAGTGGGGACAGATGGGTCATTAATTAGCAACCTTGAGACCAGGATGATTAATACATCAGAATCCCGCTGCCCCCATGAGACGGCAGCAGGATTACACCCCCCCCCCCCCCCCCCCACACACACACACACACACACACACACACACACACACACCAGAGGTGTTCTTTATAGATATTTTACACATATAAGAGCAGGAATGTAACCACAGGTGTACACAAATTTCATTATATTAACAAACTGCGATGAATTAAGAAAGATAAGAATCAAACTAAACTTAACATGGTCCAGTAGGTGACATAACTGATCTCCAAGCATCAAAGGGTTAAAAAACCTGAAAGACTCAAACATTTAAAGGTTGAACACGGAACACAAACACCAGAGCAACATCTAGTGAGGCTGTAGTTGGAACAATAGAACAGGGTTTCCAGCCGTCAGCATACCAGGTTTACTGCCGATACTTGAAATGTTTTATTTTGGTCCATCTGTTGTAGGCTTCACCTAAACTTACTCTAGTTTTAGATCTTTTATAGTTGCTCCTCTTCTGAGAAGCATAACAACATCTTCTGGGCTCAGAAGCAGCTGCTTGACTTGCCGAGTCCGCCATTTTCCACAGTGCCAGCCTCGCTGTGCTGAGCGCACTGTTAGACAACCACTGGCAACAGCTGTCTAATAGTCTGATCATTTTCATTCATTTAATTTAAACATATTTTCATTTGAGATGTGAGTTAAAGCAGATAATTAGGAATCATCAAATCTGTGTTTTCTGTTTATTGTAATTTAACAATAAATGAAGCATGCAGTTTTAGCTAACATCCTTTTAGCACAAATGCTTTGCTGCACCTGGAAGGACGAATGCATGGGAGAGAAGGAAGCTGGGGAGAGTTTGCCTGAATGTGCGGGATGCAAAGACAGGATCTGATGAGCAGTACCTCCAGGCTCTGAATGCCGACTGGCATACCCTCTGCTTCAGCTGCTGCTGGATTCAGGAAAACACCGTCCAGATCGAGATTTGACCGACTTGCTGCCGCACCATCCACCTGGCCAGGCCCCGGCTCCAGCCTGCCGCACCATCCACCTGGCCAGGCCCCGGCTCCAGCCTGCCGCACCATCCACCTGGCCAGGCCCCGGCTCTAGCCTGCCGCACCAGCTATCAGGCTAGCTACTATGAGGATCCTCCTGCTCCACCAGGACAAGGAAGGACAAGGATCCTCCACCAACCACTGGGCCCAGGCTCCTCTAGCAAGGTACTAACAAGTAAACCGACAGTGACTTCAGTGGGCCATCACAAGAAATATCATTCTCACCGTTTTCGAGATGCCGCCTAGAAAAGCAAACCCAGGAGTTGAAGAGGAGTTGGAGGAGATTAAAAAATCGCTTCATTTCATGTCTGATGAACTGAGCAAAGTGGCTAAACAACAAGGTATGCTAAATGACCTCATAGATGAAATAAAACAACAAAAAAATTTGATAAAGGAGAAGGACAAGAAAATAGATGACCTGGTACAGCGAATTGAGGACCTTGAAAAATACACAAGAATGGAGGATTTAGTCATATGTGGACTCGAGACGCAACACTGAACCTACACTAGAGTAACAGCTGGCGGAGGTAAAGATGGTGAAGATGCCCCAGTAAAGGAGCTGCAAACGCTTGAACAGCAAGTGATAAAATTCCTTCAGACGAAGAATGTGAGTATTCAGAGCCACCATATTGCAGCATGCCACACGCTCCCCAGAAAAGACAGTAAAACAAAGCCAGCAATTATTCTTCGGTTTGTGAGTCACAAAACAAAGATTGAGTTACTGAAACAGGGAAAAAGTTAAAAGGGACCGGTGTGTATTTAAATGAGCATTTAACGAAAAAGAATGTCTGAAATTGCAAGACAGGCCCGCAGCCTGAAAAAACAACATAAGATACAAGCGACGTGGACAAGGAACTGCAAAGTGATATAAGACTAAATGGCACTGCCGAAGAAGCGAAAGTTGTGATGATAAGTGAACTTAAAGACTTAGAGCAATATAAATAATCAGGAGTCTGCAATGGAATCTACTGGAAATGTGATTATTGAATAATGAACAATAGGTATAGAAAATGCTTCTGGCCTTGTGGCTCATACAACAATGGAAAAACAACAACAAAAACAAAAAAACATAAATGACAAGTTTGGACACAGATTATATGTTTCCATTCAGAGATATTGAAGAGGAAAACATTGATTATGAAAAGGACTGTCAAGGAGGTTATTTAACCACGCACGCTGAGAAAACCAACTTCAAAACATTTAACTATGCAGAGCACAACATGCATGACCCTGAAAGTAACACTGACCCAGATGACCACTTCTACAATAACAACAATGATACTTGTGAGTACTATACAGACGACCAATTCAATATGAATATTAAAATGGTAAATGCATTATCGGTCATACATTTCAATAGTAGAAGCTTGTATAAATTTTTTTCAAAAATTACAGATTGTTTAAGTAAGAAAAAGTTTACTATAATTGTAATATCAGAAACATGGCTCGATAATGAGAAAGTTAGTGAAGTGAGACTGGAAGGATGCAAATTATTTACAATGAACAGGGTGAATAAAAAAGGAGGTGGTGTTGCTTTATATGTTGATACATTTTTGAAATGCAGTCTGATTGAATGTATGTCAAGCACCATAGATGATGTGTTGGAATGTGTTACTGTTGAAATCCATGCTGAAAAAGCTAGCAATATAATAATAAGTTGCATTTATAGGGCACCGGGATCATGTCTTGAGACATTCTATGAAAAACTTGCTGCTATGTTTAGCAACCTAAATGATAAAAAAGTGCAAATAATATGTGGTGATTTTAATATAGATTTGCTAAACCCAAATGGACATCAGAAAACAACAGACTTTATTACTACAATGTATAGTAACTCCCTTTTCCCTGTAATTACAAAACCAAGTAGAATAACAATTGATACGGCCACATTGATAGATAATATATTCACAAATAAAATTGACAATGAAATAGTAGGTGGACTTCTTATAACTGATAGAAGCGATCATCTTCCTGTTTTTGCAATTTTTCTAAATTATTGTGGGATTACAACTAAACAAAAGAATCAAAAATTTGACATGAAACGACAAAGAACAACAAGAGCCAATACTGCCCTCCAGGTGGACTTAAAGAACACAATTGGAATAAGGTTTTTGCAAATTAAGATTAAAATAGCGCATATGATGCATTCCTAGCAACTGTAATTTCACTATATGACAAACATTGTCCTTTAGTGAAAATCACTACAAAACATTACAGATCAAATAAGCCATGGATCACAAAGGGGATAGAAGATGCATGTAAAAAAAATTATCTATATAAAAGATTCATAAAACAGAGGACAAAAGATGCTGAATTAAAGTACAAGTTATATAAAAATAGATTATTAAAAATTATAAGAACAAGTAAGAAAGATTATTACCACACATTATTGGAGCAAAGCAGAAGTAACACACAAGAAACATGAAGGATATTAGTAGTGTAATCAAAAAAGACTCAAAAAATAAGAATTATCCAGACTATTTAAAAAAAGATAAAGATATAGTGCTTGATAAAACCAAAGACATTAGCCCAATGTCAAACACCACTTTCCCAACATAAGCTACTCTACAACTACTAAAATAGGATATTTATAACCTTTTCCACAAAAACAAACTTCAAAATGAAGTTTGGATATCGTCTAAAGTCTAACTTTCCATGACCTGTTCCTACACTATCACCATCAACTTCTATAGAGTAAAGGTGTGGAAGCGGTGCAACCTTCAACAAGGAACTCATTATAAAACACATCAGGCATCCCAGACAGCAACACCACCCAGAAACGGTGAGGTGGAGCAGAAAAGAAATTAAATGAAGAAAAAATAAATAAATAAATACTGATAGAATGAGTAATGGAGAAGGTTGCACCCAAGAGTTAGATGGATGGCTTTAGGCATGGGGTAATATCACTCATTCAAAGATTCAGCTTTGGACATGACATCTCATGACAGTGAGGAGAGAAAAGGCTGCAGAGATGGGGGGGTGGGGGGGGGGGGGGGGGGGGGATGAGATGGAAATAGGCCTGAGTCCCACGCTGAGAGGGGCAGCTTGGCTGAGTAGATCCAGCCTGGCCAGCCCGCCAACTCAGTTTTCATTCAGTCTCTGCTACACTCATCTGTTCCATCATTATTCATCTTTCTGCCACTCACTGATTTTCTCTTCATTTTAAAGCAAGTCTGCACGAGCCTTTATCTCTGCCTCCCTATTTCAGTTCTAATCGGGTCTCTCACAGCACACTTACAACCGCAGCTGCTGACAGCCCATCACCTTGGCTTAGATCAACCCCCTCTACACCAGGGTCTTCATCTGTGTTCATTTAATCTCAATAGATCCATTTCCTTCATAATAAATCCCTATTTATAAGACAAAAAAAGAATTAATGTAGCAATAATTGTAGGAACGCCACATGATGAGTGGATCGCTGAACCCGTTTCTACTGTCAGTTTAATCCGTCATCGCCATGGTTTGTGGAGTTTGTAACTTTAGTAGTGTAATCACATTGCAGTTAAACTATAATATTAACAGATTACATCAGGGAGAATCGATGACATCTCATCAGATATTTCTTCTCACTTTCTTGTGCAATATTCAGAATCTTGACAGTAACTCCGACAAATGAACACTTCCAGAATAATAATGTGCTAATCGGATT